CAGCCACAATACCAGACCCCATCGTGTTGAGTTCATCAACCGATGAAGAACCAAACACACCACCTACAGAAACAAACCAAACCCTCACTCCCTCACCCACAACAAACCTACCCCTAACCCCTTCTCCAACACCTCGACCCTTCACCCTTTCCTCACAACCAGAACCCACAACAAACCAACCATTGCCTCAACAACCCCAAACCCCTATAGAAACCCATGCACCAGAATCTACCCAACCAACCAAAGAAAACTCACCCTCTACCCATACACAACATCAAACAGAAACTCAACCCTTAACCCATGAACCCGTGGTGCATGTGGATACCCCTTCTTCCTCAAGGCAACCTCCATAAGGCCTGGTAAATGAGATTATCCAGAACATGGAGTCGATGAGGAGACGTCCTCAATTGCCGCCCAGGGAACCAATCTTGATGGAAAATATCCATCAATACATGTATCAAGATCGCGATGAAAGTTTGTCAACCAATCCTCCAATGAACCTCCTACATCATCGATTTGTCAGACAAACCACTCAAGAACCTCGAGCTGTCTTTTCGAATGAGGGAATAAGGAGAGTCGTTGACTTGAATATAAAGTCTTTTGCCAATAGAGCTATTCGAAACATCGAGTTCAGCGTGGAGAGAGCCCATGGGATCGTTAGCGTGTTCAACGAAAACGATCTTATCAACCTCAATCCATATGACTTAATTGAATTATACGCCTACACAGCTCAAAGGCAGGATCATGGCATAAGGTTTGGAATGGCAAACCGAGCGATAGTAAAAACAATGGAGTCCCTGGTAAAGCTTAGAGCCAAAATAGATTTTGAAATTGCCTTTAGGCTAGGCATCGAGAGACTATCATGCACTCCTTCAAATGAAGATTTCCAGGGCCTGCAGGAGATATGATCTGCTTCAGTTCTTACTCAACCTGAACTTGGACTTGTTTACAAGATCGAGTTTGGGGTTAAAAAGTTCTTCAGAATGACTGAAGCTTTCAAGTATTCGACAGATACACTTGAATGGTTTAAAAAAAAAACATTAGAGAAAGACTGGGCAGAAACCATGTGCCAAGGGAAGAAGGGAGTCATCTCATACATGAGATATCATCGGTCATTGCTTATCGAAGACTACTCTTGCACTTCAGAGAGATATACTCATGTAGTTAAGTGATGACTCAAATATTGTGTATCTTGCCTTGATGTATTTTGTTTCCAGTATTGTAAAGAAATTTCATCATCCAATGAAAATTTGGAGTTTGATGTTTTTCTACTAGATTAGTGTCTTTTCTTCACATATGTGTCTAGATTGGACTTTGTTTGTTATTTCATTACTTAGAGGGAGATTGTTAAACCCCATAACTCATGATGTAAAAAGTAAAGAAAAACAACAAGTGACGAAGAACCAGAAGACCGATGAAGACATCAAGGCAGAATCGACTAAGTCTGGAATTCAACCATTGGACCGATGGACAAGTTCAACCATTGGACCGATGGACAAGTTCAACCATTGGACCGATGAACAAGTTCAACCAGAGGATCAATGGACAGGTTCAAGGATGCGATGGAAAGAAGCATTCTCATCGAACCTCTGGACAAACAACACTTAGAAGATTTTCTAGCACTACATCCAAGTACGTAATGAAGATTTGAAGATAAGGATGGAATCATCATATCATGAATGACAGCTAAAGATGACAAATCAACAGCTGGAATTCAAGTTTATCTTATTGTTAATGTTTCTCCATGTGAAAGATAAACCCTATATGTTAGATAGATGATTTGCTAGAAAGTAGCATTAGATTGTTATCTTTTTAATAGTCGATTAATATAAATAGATGATTAGGTCTATTGTAAAAATAAGGCTTTTACTCATTGTTTTACATTTATGAATCTATAAAGTAAAACGTTTGAAGCTCAAAGTTGTTCTTAAATTTTCATATTTTATTCTTGAGACTTCATAACTTTCTTCATTAAATCACTATAATTTGGTTATTCATAACTAGATTATTAGTGTTATTGAGAGATCTGGGATCAACACTTCCCAATTGACCAAGTTTGTCGGACAGGAAGAAAATGAGCCGATTTTGTCAGTCGGTCTACCACTACCCAGATTGCATCGTGTTTCAAGATCGTATGGGGTAATCCGACTACAAAATCCATAGTTATGTGCTCCCATATCCATACTGGATTGTTCAACGATTGGTGAACACCACCCAGACGTTGATGTTCAATTTTAACTTGTTGACAAGTGAGACAACGAGCTACAAAGTCGGCGATATCTCGCTTCATTCCAATCCACCAGAAATGGTTCCTCAAATCACGATACATTTTTGTTGTGCCAGGATGAATCGAAAACATAGAGTTATGAGCTTCAGTCAGAATTAGATCTCTAAGCTCCGAGTTATTCGGAACACAAAGACGATCTCGAAACCACAACACGTGATCATCATCCATTATGAACTCTGAACTAGAATTATTTTGTGCCTGCTGGAAATTTGCCCATAATTCACTATCATCTTGCTGGGCTTCTTTGATCCGAGAGATTACAGTCGATTCTACCATTAGATTCGACAGAATTTTTGTTTGCGAACTCGGATAAATTTCTAGTCCGAACCGTTCGATTTCCAAAGCCAACTCTATAGAAACAATTAAAGAAGAAACTTGTTCCACTGCTTTACGGCTTAAAGCATCGGCGACTACATTAGCTTTGCCCGGATGATACTGTATCCGAACATCGTAATCTTTCAGAAGTTCGAGCCATCTTCGTTGATGCATATTTAACTCTTTTTGAGTAAAGATGTATTTGAGGCTTTTATGGTCAGTGAAAACTTCACAGGTCTCACCGTACAAATAGTGACGCCAGATCTTAAGTGCAAAGATCACTGTAGCCAATTCGAGATCATGAGTCGGATAATTGACCTCATAAGGCTTTAATTGACGAGAAGCATATGTGATCACTTTTCCGTGTTGAATAAGAACACAACCGAGACCTTTCTTTGAAGCATCACTATAAACTTGAAACCCACCAGTGCCAGACGGCAATACAAGAATAGGTGTTGTAACCAATCGATGCTTCAATTTCTCAAAACTAGATTCTTGTTCGGAACCCCAATTGAATTTAACTCCTTTTCGAAGTAATCGGTCAAAGGTAGTGATATTTTAGAGAAACCTTCAACGAATCATCTGTAATAACCAACCAGACCCAGAAAACCATGAACTTCAGATACGTTCGTAGGTCGTAACCAATTAGTGACGGTTTCAATTTTCACCGGATCGACTTTGACACCTTCGGCAGAGATTACGTGTTCGAGAAAAGACACTTGATCGAGACAAAATTCACATTTGGAAAGTTTTGCGTATAACTTTGTTGTTTGAAGAGTCTCCAAAACAATTTGAAGATGTTGATCATGTTGTTTTCTTGACTTCGAGTAAATCAAAATGTCGTCAATAAACACGATAACAAATCATCGAGATAATCCTTGAAAACCCGATTCATAAGATCCATAAAGACCGCTGGAGCATTAGTTAGCCCGAAAGGCATTCCTAAGAATTCGTAGTGCCCATAGCGAGTTCTAAATGCTGTTTTCAGAATATCACAATCTCGGATACGAAGTTGATGGTACCCGGAACGAAGATCAATTTTGAAAAAGTATCGTGCCCCTTGTAATTGATTGAACAGATCATCGATTCTTGGCAACGGATACTTGTTACGAATAGTTACTTTATTAAGTTCCCGATAATCGACACAAAGACGCATCGTACCGTCTTTCTTTTTAACGAAAAGAACTGGAGCTCCCAGGGTGAAACACTGGGTCGAATGAAACCTTTCTTCAATAGTTCATCGAGTTGAGTTTTAAGCTCTTTCATTTTAGTTAGAGCCATTCGGTAGGGAGCCTTGGATATAGGAGAAGCTTCCGGGACTAGATAGATGGTAAATTCAACTTCCCGTACTGGTGGTATACCCGGTAAATTGTCGGGGAACACATCAAGATATTCAGAAACAACAGGTATGGATGTAGAAGTAGGAAATACCTATTTGGGATCTTGTAGAGCAGCAAGAAAACTTTCATTGCTTTGCCATGTATATTGTTTCACAGTAATAGAGACTATTGCACTAACATCTTCTTTTGGAGTACCTCCTTAGAAGATTGCCTCTGGGTTGTCTATATCCCCAAACAGAATTTGTTTGGCATTACAGTCTATTATTGCCCGGTGGTGTGACAACCAGTCCATACCCAATATTAAATCGAAGTAGGACATATACATTGGAAGCAGAGTGACCTCTCGTATGCAATCCCCAATAAGCAACAGACAGTTGGAAAAACGAGTTAGCACACAAATTGTACCACCTATTGGAGTAGATATTACCACTGGAAATTTGATGGTTTTCTCATACGATTTTAATCGGGATTCTAATTGTTCAGAAACAATTGAGTGTATCGCACCAGTATCAAACTAAACATAAACAGATAAATCAATTAATTTAACATGACCCGAAATCATACCCTCTTGAGATTTGCTGCCAGGTAATGCAAAGACTCGTCCACTAGTACTTGGTTGTTTACCTTTCCCTTTATCAGTTTGGATCCGAGCTTTGAGACAATGTTTTGCCATGTGACCTTGTTCTCGATAATTGAAACAAGAGCTTGTCATCTTTAAACATGGACCCGGTTGACGTCGAAGATTGCATCGATCACAATTAATAACAAGGCTAGAAACATTTTGACTCCCATTGCTAGACAACACTGGAAGTCGTGGCATGAATAGATTCGACCCTTTTTTAGTATCACTGCTTGACTTTGATTTTACAAAACAAGGGTTGCTTTGGGAGAAAGATTCAGATCCGCGTTTCTTATTGTCAACGCGTGAAGTTAACCATTGTTGTCGTGACCAATCAATATTCTTTGTTGCGTCGGCCACTTCAGTAACTGTATGAAAATGATGATTCAAGAGGCGATCTTTATACCTCGAGTTCAAAGTCCATTTAAATTTGTCAGCTTGTTGGACTTGAGTGCCTGCAGTATTTCCTTCAAAACGAGAAAATTTAAGAAACCACGCCATGTAGTCGGCAATTGTTTCTTCCTCGTCTTGCTGGATTGTAGTATATTCCCGCACATAGGCATCGCGATCAGCCGAGGTAAAGTATTGCTTGAAGAAAAATTCTTTGAAATTATTCCAAGACAAGTCTTTAACAGATGGATCAGTCTGGATACAAGATTCCCACCATTTATTGGCTTCTTTCTTAAACATATAAGTAGCCAAACGGACCCGATACTGATCTGGAACATCTAAGACATTAAAAATATTTTCTATGTATCGAATCCAGTGTCCGGCATCCACAGAATCTATGGCAGTTGAGAAAGACTGAGGTTTTTGTTTGTTAAACCTTTCAAGCCATATATATATTTCACCCGTTGGGTTACCTGAACTGGATGCAGGAATTCTAGTATTTGGTGTAGTAACAGGATTTGGATTTGAAGGAAGATTATGCGCTGCTTGTTGCATAGCCTGAATAGCCTGCTGCATATATGTAGGCCTTAGACTTGACATGGTATGACGGATCACATCAGCAATATTGGGTTCACTTTCACCCTCCATTGGATTGGGATTGGGGTTTGGGTTACCTTCAGGTTGAGATCTTGTAATAGTCTGGTTATTATTTTAGACATATATATATATGTTATGTATATATGTTTGGATATGTGTGTATATATTATTTAAATAAAGAAATGAGGGGGGGTCGGCTATTGAGCCGCCCCTCACTTCCTTTTGTGGTTGGGTATATATATATATAGAATTTGTGAAGAAAAACACACACAASACATACCATATTTAGAAACATCTCTGAGAATTTGAAGAAACTRCACAAGAAGAAGAAGAATCATAAGGCTTTGATTTTTGACTTCTAAAAGRTGAGTGTATTAAGAGCTTTGGATATGAACTGCTTATATACAGTGTGATAAGCATTTAGAACTGGTTATTATGAATTTTATAGCATTTTGTATG